TCACTTCCTAATTATTTTGAGTTTCCATATGTCTTAGATATTCTCCGTTTTCATGTGTTAGGAAGAATGGTCTCGTTCTTTGAGAATTTCAGTTCTGTGATTTGGTTCCCGCCTCATCTGTTATACCTCTTGTTGTTATACACCAGTCTCTGTGTGTCTCTGGCAAATGGTGTTTCTGGTAGTGATAGTGCTAGTTTGCTCTTTTACCTTGCCCTGCTACCCATCAAAGTCGCTTACAAATTCGCCGATTGGCGGTGATCTGTTTTCAGATAATTTTGTATTCCCATTGTTTTCATGAAGTCCTCGATCTTCCTTGCTCGTTTGTTCGTTATCAAATTATTTAAGTCGTCATGACTTCCGATTTAAAAACTTTTCATTTTCTGGTAGTCGGGTCGGGACCAATTGAATGTTTGAGTTAAATTGAGATTTTTCGATTTTCTCTTATTTCAAGCTTAATTTTGTTAACTTTTTTTCGTTTTGTTCTTATTTCCATGAGACTGTCATTCATGTTTATATTTTTATATTACCTAATACGCTTCTTATGTAATCCTCCGAAGAATACATCAGAAACCTTCCTCACTTTCATGGATTCCTCGCTTTCTATTGCTTTGTTCAGTCAGTTTCACCTTGTTTTTCTCGTCGTCGTTGTGAAACAATAATAATCTGTTTTTATGTTAATTGCGTTCTTTTAATGCTGTAGTTCCAATCTTCTCGTCGTATATACTCGTTCATTCTATCTTGGTTGCAGGTGAACAATGCTTTGCCACACTTCATTCGTACGTAATCGTTCAACGGACCTCAAAAAATGATTCCGGCCCGGTATGTCTATCGTTCATTCAAATTACTCAAGACTTTCTGGTTCCAAGATCAACTTTTCACTTGGGTTACAGAAATGATTTGAAAGAAGTAAGTTCATAATATAACTTTCGTTTTCTAATTCTCTCTGATTACAGGTTGTCAACGACTGTGGATATCGCAGAAGTCATCTAACACACCTGAAGGATGTTTGGCCAGAGAAGCTCCTAAGAGAGGGGAAGATGCTGTGAGAGTATCCCAGTCGTCTCAGCTGTAAAACTATAACAGTATTGAAGTCTATTGTTCTATTTATTTATGTCCAATAAACTGTTTCTATTCCATCCTTGTTATATGAACTTGTTGATTCGATTTATACTTTTCGATTTTAATAAGCAAAAGAAAGTTCAGAAATGAAAATTTAATTCGCCTCGGATTTTCATTCATAACGTTTTTGCTTTGAGATTAAGTTGTCAGATATGGTACATCCAACCCGTGTCAACCAGTTCCTACCTGGATCTTCTGCTGTGGACCTGCCTACCTACCTACCCCAGGTTATACGTCTGTTTCCACCTATCAGATCATGTTATCAATGATTCACGGAGAAACAAGCATTGCTTTGTGGTAAGTGTCTCTCAATATTCATGCTTGTCTGATTTTAGGGATTAGTTCAAAATGAATTATATCTTGAATAGTCCCTTCACTCGAAAGGGAAGTCAAGAATGAACAAGGTACGTGTTGCTTCAAGTTTCCAAGTTGTACCTTGTTCTTCGACACACGCAGTAGACTGGCTCTCCATCCTAAACGGAGATAATTGGATTGTTCATCTGCATTATCTT